ATGGGGCATTTATAGTAATTGGATAGATAGAAATCTAGGGAATATTCGAACGTAAATGAGGCTATGAATCTGCAGGAATAAAGTTCAGAATGCATATGTCTTAATGATAAAGTACGAGCATTTACGTCAAAAAAGTGGTACTAAAGGGCAGAATAATAATGATAATTATATATTTAGGCATTTTTTGGGGTGATATTAATAAGTCATGCAAAGATTATGTAACTACTACAGGTGTTTAATAGAATGATTTATTTATATCAAATGGCAGGCATTTTGATGGTTATCATTAGCCCTTTAGTTGACTTCAGGCTTAATAGAATGATAAAATACGAATTGTTAGACTTTTTCTATGCTTTTAGCCAATTTTAACTGCTTTAGTCTTGCTTTCAAGCATTCCCAATTTCGAAATGCTTTCATCAGATCCAGCTTGCCAGCAGATACATATCGACTTGAGATTATGAGCACAATCAATTCATACCTTCGGTTTTATTGTAGCCGTCCCAAACATGAGACAGATTGGTACTTTGCTCTCTCAAGCGAGTGTTTTATGGCCAGATAAGGTAAAATAAAACGAGGAGGCAAATCGGTTGGACCTAAACGAAAACCGAAGACATGAATGGATAGCCATGCACTTGGTTCAGCCACGTGCTTTATTTGCAAAGTTTAAAATGGGAAAATAAAGTTTAAGGAATATTAAAAGCAGCGTATTGGGAAATATGCATAAAAGTGGACTGAAATATGGTCTCAGCGTTGTATTATACATCCTCCAAAGAATATTGTCTTATAAGCAAATACGGTGCTGATTAAAGTAAGTCAGTTTGCCTTAAGTACGATCATGAAATAAAATGAGCCAATAGGATTGAAACCACCATTTGCTACCATGCTCACAGGTAAAGATTATCTGAGTGTTTAATTATGTTCAGACGTGCTTTTGAGGATCAATATAGATAGTCCATGCTTCAGAATTCATTGAAAACAGATTTTTTCTTATATCTGGGTTGCATGAGTAGTATCGTCTGGCTGAGGGACTACGCATGTTGACCACTTACGGTGTAGTGAATTCTGTTAAATACTCTCGCAAACACTTACATTTCCCGTCTTATATAAAACTGAGACGATAGAGGAGCATAAACTCCATTCGGCTTAGGAATATGACCATAATGTTGCTGGATCATAACAAGACAGACGTCTGTACGCATATTGGGCCATTTTTCTTTTCTTATTTTTGATAGGCCCATAAAGATATATTTGATCCACGTTGCTTCGATATAATTGGCGATTTTTGGCAAAACGTTTGGTCATATTTCCTAAAAAGCCCAGTCGAGCGCCATTGAAAATCTTCCATTCTCTTTTGATGAATTATCAATTATTTGGTTACTACGTTAATACGTGGACATAAAACCAGTGCAGAAGCAACTATCGGCTGAATTATAGTCCTATCGGGCAGTAGACCATGTACCCCTTAATCAAATTGATTTTCTTAAAAATCATCATCGCTTCTTCCTTCTTTCTGAAGATTTAACAGTTACATATTTATGAAGAGATAGAGGAGTGTTAAAATACAGAAATTTAACTTCTGAACTGGTATTTCATTTGCATCAATGAAACGTCTTAGAACAAATGCAATAAACAATAAATATTTTTATTTTAAAACTAAAATTCTGGTTGTCTGGTTGAAAAGCAAACAATTGCGCTGGGATTTTGCTAAGAAAGGAGGAATTTTGAGGTTTCCTCAATCATCGAGCTCAAATAAAAACTATAGCAACAGTGAATCTCACTTTCAAATAACTAGCAAATTCATAATTGATAAATTTGTTTTAATTACAGAATATTTCATAGCGAACATGAAGCATATTTCTAAAGATGATCATATTGATATTTAATTATCACGATTATATTTTACCCTTAATTTTACATCTTTTAACTTTCTTTGTAATGCTGGTACTTTTCTATTTTATAAGCATATTTAAAGCGCAACATAATGAAATTTACCGTGTTATTAAAATTCAATTATTCCTACAGTTCAGTATACTGATATACTTCCAAACACACCGTTAATTAGTTTTGTAAGGAATACTTTAGAAGTAAAACATTCTCAAACAAACCTTCAATCGAAAGGATGAAGTTTTAAGGGGTCTATGAGAGAAGCTCATAAGGGGTTAAGGGAATCAGGAAAAGTGAGTAAATCAGAAAATTCGAAAGAAGAAAAAATCAACAACTGCTTCAATAACACTCCAATAACCAATAGCGTCAGGGCCAGTGGCACCGAAGAAGCCCATTATTGGCCCAACACGAATGACCTTGAGAATGTGATGTACGAAAAAAAACACCCCGAGGAACCATAAAAATTGGACCAAAGTGGGCGATAAAATAGACCCTCCTGAAGTTGAACTTCGATCGGCTGTGAGAGAACCTTTTGGAGAGACATCAGGGAATTTCTTGTTCTCTTCTCGTCTTCTCTCATCATCGCCTGAACCTCTGGTTTGGGATATTTGAATGAGAGTTCTTTGCATAGTTGGTTCCTCTGTGATCAAGTCTGGGACACTTGAGATTGCTTGACCTGAATTCCTATTAGAGTCATACAATATAAATTTTACTGATTAAGTTATACTTTCGATATTAAACAAATTAACATTTACAGTGAGACAGGAATCATAATTTTCTTTTCAAGGGCATTGATTCTATCAGAAGCAGTACAGTTTTCAGTTGGTCACAAACTAGAATATGAACCAATGAGTTTAACTAGATAATTTAACTTATCTACAAATCTACTCAAGGTTTTTTCGTAAGGCTAAATTATTTATGCTAACTACAATTATTTTATCTATTAGATACTTGAGAAGATAATTTACTTACAATGAATTTGAGAGAGCAGTTCTTTCTCTTAAGTAGCCATCTGTCGCATCCAAAGGTTTGATGGGGCTTCGCAGACAAGAATATGCCGCCTCTTTTCTTAACAAATTATAAAATATTATGTTTGGTATCTGGACTTAGTGTTATGATGTTAAATAGTGTGAAAATGAAGTAAAGTTAAGATTTCATGGTCCAAGTGCCAATCTTCTGGAAACTCAAATTATAACCGCCACTTGCATGTTTAGGTTTCCATTGCATTGGCCTTATTTAGAGCAGTTATAACAATACATTCATAAATTTGAATTTACTTATCCAATAATATGTTTTTCAATTTCCACACTTGCTTCCTTTATTCGAACTTAAAATATAGGAGTATTCTTTAAGATATTTTGCTTAACTGTACCCTTAAATCAAAGATTTTTGTGATAAAGTTAGCATTAAAAAGTGGCAATTCTAAAAAGCATGCTTTTGCTCTTATTTTTCCATAATTTTTTTCAGTTCCCAATTTTTTCGTATGGTTTGAACTCACTACAATAAATGTTTCCTCCTAAACCTATTTTATCAATTATTTATAAGGATCCGGGGTGTGTGTTAGACTTACCTCTACGTGGTTCACCCTGGGCAACGTATTATTCATACGGCAAAAAAGTCTATTCACTGACAGTTGACTTCTGACTTCAAACTATCACCACCTCACTCTATGCCATATTCGACCACTTCCACAGTACTCAACTTACCTTCTTCTCTGCCTATTCACACCATCGAATCCCTCTTCTGTTCCCCCTCTCGATTGTTTTTTTTCATTTTGTCTGTTCCTCCACTCCATGAAGTCCAAAGTCAGCTAAGGGGCTAATGATAACTATTAAAACGCCTGCCATTTAAAATCAATCAATTTCTAACATGCACCTCAGAAGGAATTGGCTTATTTAGTTTCGTAAATTCATATGAACTCTGGCCAATTCATAATACTTAAGAATTGAAATCACAATCTAATTGAACATGTAGTTGGAAATTTACTTCTTATAAATGAACAATAATCACTTCTCTTGGTTAAAATCAGAAGCAATGACATATTTCATAAATTTTTATTATTATTGACAGATCAAGTAATGTCTATTCAAATGATCTTTCATCGACCGCGATTTATGGAAATGCTGTTGCTCCTAAGAAGACTTCGACGAGGCACTGGAAGAGTGAGAGTGGGTCGCCTCAGGGCGTGCTCATTAATGGGAGACAAATTGATGTTGGCGGTTAGGGCACCTGCTGCTGCCTTTATTGGTTGGTTCGAAGAGTCTGGACCGCCAGGAACAGCTCCAGAAGCGGCTGTCGAACTTACATTTGAGGAGTGAAATACTTCCAAGGGACTTCGACGGCGTTGAATCCAATCCTCTATATTCTGAATGAGAAAAGCAAATCTGATTAAAGTTACTCTAACCTACAACAAGCTGAATTCGGTTAAAAGGAATCTTGAGAGAACGATGGAAAGTCCATCGTAAGCATAAAGAGGGAAAAATCGATTTTTAGAATCTGGACTTACAGTGCTAATCCACTGGGTAGTTAACTTGAAAAACATATTTTACTTCATCAGTCCATTTACTGAACTGATTATTGTCCGAAATTTAATTGACTTTTGATATAAATGAGTAAACTGCAAAGAATTATTATTTCAATCCTCTATGAAAGTTCGATTGAATCAAGCTGTTTAGTTGTGACCATATGATTGGATGATTTGAGTGATGCAAGGTTGGAATACCAAAGTCTATATCCATGAAGTGGGGTGCGCGATAGACTTACCTCCACGTGGTGCACCCTGGGTAACGTATACTCATACGGCAAAAAAGTCTATTAACTGGCGATTGACTTCTGGCGCAGTACTCATCCTACCTTTCCTCTGCCTTCATGTCTGTCTCTTTACATCTGTAAATCACTCTTCTGTTCCCCACCCCTCGACTTTCTGTTACTTTGAAGTTCCTTCCCCCTGTTAAGCCCGAAGTCAGCTAAAGGGCTAATGATAACTATCAAAACGCCTGCCATTTGAAATAAATAAATAAATATCCATGAAGCTAGTAGATGCGCTCACAGGATGCAAAGNAATAAATGTTTCCTCCTAAACCTATTTTATCAATTATTTATAAGGATCCGGGGTGTGTGTTAGACTTACCTCTACGTGGTTCACCCTGGGCAACGTATTATTCATACGGCAAAAAAGTCTATTCACTGACAGTTGACTTCTGACTTCAAACTATCACCACCTCACTCTATGCCATATTCGAATATTTTCACAGTACTCACCTCACCTTTTTTCTACCTTTGTGTTTGTCTCTTACATCTTTGAAACAATCTTCTGTTCCCCCCCCCCTGTGAAGCCTGAAGTCAACTAAAGGGCTAATGATAACCATCAAGACGCCTGCCATTTGATATAAATAAATAAATTTACAAGGATCTATCTCCGAAAGGGGGCCATAAACTTAGACCAATTACTAAACTTGTAACAACCACAGTCGATAAGGATTAGAGCCATAACAAAATGAACATTTAATGGATGCTATAGGATACTTTCAAAATCTCTAGTCATAGCAATAAATAATAATGTAAGACAAGCTATTCTGTTGTAGAGGCTGGTGGGAAAACACTTTTTGGTAGTGGCCTATATGTTATTCAATTATATTTATATGAATATCTTCAGGGTACATGACGCGTTTCCAGATGGTTAAGCATCATGCTTTCGATTGGTTTTGATCATCTTGTTGTTATCAACATTATCACAAATGGTTTACATTTACCATGACTGCTTCTAAATAGACTAATTAAGCCATTCAGAAGTATAATAATATTATAAGTAAAAGATTCGTATAATTAAATAATTTTTCGTCAATTGTTATTTTCATCAGCGATATTTCAATCGTCCATATTCTAACTTTCATAGACTTTGGACGAAGAATAACTTTCGTAGACTTGCTTGCTATAAACGTCAAACTCGGTTCAATTCAACAATTTCATTTTCTGAAACTTATCTAATAGAAACCAGTATAAAATTTGTACATCAACTTAAGTGTCATTTTGTAAAAAAATTTAATTCAAACAAATTCGGAACTAAATTTTGCTATTTTATGCATGTGGCGTTAGTGGATTGATTTAATTGAAAATGATAGTGATTTTAAACTTAATGGATAAAGTTCGTTTTCCGTACCGATGCTCATTCAGAATTGAGCTTGAGGTAAGAACAGATAACAGAGTGGAATGTCAACAAACATAATGTGCTCATGCGATCTAAGTCACAAAAAACATATTCCTTTAAGCCAGAAGTGCTTACCTTGGGGAGACAATCTCTTGACTCAGCACAACCGTTGCCATGGGTGATAACCGCTGAGTTTCTTGAGCACTCTTTGCATTGAGATTTTTCTCCATACGGGCGGACGCCGCACTCCAATCGAAAGGGGTGGGAGCCGTCCCTTTAGTGTGATTACTCTTCCCCACTACTCTACTAACTGCTGCATTCTTAACTGATTCAGCCTTACTTTCCTCCGTGTCATCCTCCTCTTCGTCCTGAAATTAAAACATGACAAAGTATAAAGCACTTTTCGAAAGCATTTTAAATGTTTAATAAAGGACTTTGGAAGGGGATGCGAATACTCATCGGAAATGGGCACTCTCCTACATCGATCAATCATGGGGACCGACCGTCGTTAATATTTGCTCTACAATGGGGAGCCTCAAAGCAATTTCTTCAAAGTAAAAAAAGTTTTGAGTTGCAATGGCAAAGACGTTTAAGTAAAAATAATTGCCATTCTAAAATTGAAAAAGAATATAATCTTTATTTTTAAGTTGACCATAGTTTCTATCATATGATTGCTTGAAATCTCTGAAAATGTTTACTTCTTTGCCATATAAATTGCCAAAATAATAAGAAAACCTTAATATTATCCGGAAATCGGATATTGCATTTGGAGCGGGTGTTCAAAAAAAATGCAAAATGGAAACTAAAAAACCGGGAGGAAACCTCAATTTTACCAGAAAAAATTTGCATCAGCAGAGCACAAATGTTAACGAATGGAAGTAAAGATCTTCACGTGCACATTCACGTAAATTGTTGATAGTGAAAGATCCTGACATAGAGAGCAGAGCAGATCCTTAAATCATTGAAACAATGTAATTGTGATTAAAATCATTTTAACATTAGTGGAAATGGCTGATATTGATTAATTTGAAACGAGCAATGAAAACAATTGATTGTTCAAATAATAAAGTTATTTCACTTTTTATTCTGTCAAAATGATCGTTTTACCACGTTACATAACATGTTTTTACAATAAACGCAACCAAAGGCCTCAAAACTTATTTTTTATAAGTAAATTTTGAGAGGTTTTATTTTAGTAAATCACATATTTAGTCCATTAAATTATAAGTCATTTGGATACTAAAAATGTTAGAGAGGTTTTTGTACCCTGGATAAGAACGTATCATTCTGTTAGTTTGTTGGCCTCAAATTCAAGCGTTTTTATTTAATTTAGGTGGTTTTGAATTTAAAATTTAAGCAAAGATAGTCATTCATTGTATTACTTTGATTTCCAAAATTTAGGGCGTCCAATTTCAGTCATTAAAAAGAAATTAACATTTTTTTCACAATATTAGAATAAATTATTTAAAGGTATTAAACACTTCTTTGTGAAGAGAAATTTGTGAAGAATCAGGATTAGTCTTAACTGCGATCGGGTTATTACAAAATAGAAGCAGAACTTTTGTGGATCATAATCAACTGTTGCCAAGGTACTGTGGAATAATGGACATTACGTATTTTCTTTATCAGTACTGTGTTAAATTAATTTCAAATAAAAATAGTAATAAGAGAGAAAGCATTTTCCAGACAAATGAAAATGTTCGAAACTAATTTGTTTCTTCAAAGAAATAGAAAATCAACAAAATGTTACACAATATGACTAACAAACTGAGGTGAAGCATTATTTAAGGTTTTGTTTGAGTACTACCAATTAATTTTTTCCACTAAATTGTTAGTTGCTTATCTACTGTGATACTCAACTGATCATTTGACTATTTTTTTTCTCAAAACTTAAGTTTGACCCTTTCTTTATATTCCTCTACATGTTCCTTCCTCCATCCTACTCTCCGTTATTTCCAGTTGTCCAATAAGCTGGTAACCCTCCACCACTTCTTGTCGTCTCATTTTGGAATAGTTACTACATTCGGCTTGTATCATGAAGTTCAATAGCTTAGGAAGCGAATATCAACCCTAATTTGGACTTTCACGCAGGGTAGCTTTATTGTCCTGTCCTTGAATTGTCAATTCAAATTCAGTAAATTTATCAGAAATTGGTTAGAGAGCCCTCACTGATTATGATTCACCAAAGTGGGGGAGGGGCCTTAATTACTTAATTCCAAAGATAATTGTTGATAACTAAAATCCAGGATCCGAAAATTAAGACTTGATGAATTCTTTATTGTTATTTATAAAAGAATGCATTTGCCAGTAACTTTCTTATCTCATTTGAAAATTTCCCCTTAACCCAGTTGAAAAGACACCTTAAATATCTTTCGGCTTTTAACATATCCGTCTATATGATAAAATATATACAAATGCATAGAAGAAAATATATTAATTGTTACTTTACCTCAGTTAGAGGTGTCATACATCTGCGTCCGTATGGCCAGACGTAAATTAATTCGTCAACCAATTCTTCTGACTGCATTTTACTGGCACTTTTTGTCCAATGTGACGTCGATAGTATTTGGGCTGGCATTTTCGTCCTGATCACTCTGGGAATGTATTCTTCGAATTGCGATAATTTAACTTATGCAAAGTACTCTTAATCAGCCAACTATAGATCTCATATTTAGGCGCAGAATTGGATTTTAATCAGTCCAATAAAATGATAGCCAATAATCGCTTAATTATACGCACGCGTTAGAAACTCGTCTTTATTCATATGGCGCTAATTAAAACAGCACCAACCATAACAAAACTTAAAGCAAAAATAATTGATCATTGCAGAATCGAATGTATAAGAAAAAGAGAAGTTTCCATTTTTGATAAAACATCATTCAAAATGTTATTCCCAAAGCCATATCAACCCTATCAGTATATCCTTAATTGCATTAATCCTCTGCAATTGACTAAAATTTCTTGAATTTCTTAAAAAATGCACAGTTTTAGAAAATTTTACTTTTTTAGAGCTGATGCTCCTCGTGAACGAAAATTGTCAAAATTGATATTTTTCCGCATGAAAGCTAAATATTGTACTGATTATTGATTCTCTCACAACAAATTCGAAGTTTTATTAATATATTATCATTTTAACCGCGGCGAAATTCTTGAATTGTTATTTAAAATTCTTATGTGAAAAGTTTACTTTCTGCACAGCACCCGGCAATTTCCTGGTTTGATCTGGCAGTCTGACGTAGTAGGCGACCATGCAAAGGAATTCACTTTAAGAGACTTTTTGGATCATTGGAAAGTGGTTCCCAAGCATTACAGACACACTATTTCAATCGATGTGGTAGTAAGATAGACCAAGAGAGGCATAGGGGACACAAATTGGAATGTAGTATAAAGTATATGTGTATGCTCATTCATACGCCTATTGTAAATCGTAGAGTACCAGAACAGGAAAAAACAATGACGAGACTGAACTAACTGTACTAAAACTTAAGGGTGGAACCACTTTTAAGGATGAAATTGGAACTTTTAGACTTCATATAATACAGCTGCTAGCAACTGTCTCATCTATTACTAGCGAATATTAAAATCAATCGTAGGTGGTTTGGGTATCAACAAGAAACTTACATCACATAAGGGAACAAAATATTCAGCAACTATGATTGGTTCTGCGATTGGAGGAGCACACCCAGCCTTGACAATCGCTGGGTGCGGACCAACAATATTACTTTGATATTCTTCCTTGTTTCTATGAGAAGCGCCGTAGCGACTATTCACCTCTAAACCACGATATGGAGTGTAGCCATGTCTAAGAAGAAGGGGACTTCTATCCAGTTGCGTCGGTGTCTTAATTACGCCTTCATGGATTCCTATCGAAGGTTCTTGAGGAGTAGATGAGTACTCAATGGAATCATTGATCGGTTCTATAGCAACAGACAATTGTTCGGTTTTACATGGCAAAGAAAATGGATCTCTACTTGGTTTGTCAAGTCGCAGAGGGTGGTAGAGTTTCTCGTGAGTTCCGAAATCATAATCTATGTTTTTAACTTTCGAAAGGTAAGGGAAATAAATATCTTTTGGGGATTGAGATGCGTATTTTTCGGCAAAATCAGAAGGAGGATCGATTGTTGTGCTTCTATAAGTGACATTCTTTTTTATCTTTGGCGAAAGGAGTGACGCTGACGAATAAGAAACTGGGGAGGCATTTGATGAGACTGTTTCAGTTCCGTCTGTAAGCACCTTTCTATTTTCAAATTGATTAAACTGTGTCAAGTAGGACTCAGATGATGAAGAATTTTTATTTTGTATTGAGGTTTTATCATCCTCTTGCCAATCAAGCTTCCTCGGAGATGATAGTGGAGATGGGAGTGGAGGTTTTGTGCTCGCAACCGAGACATCTTCCTTCTTGGAATGCTTGATATTGTCGGAGGAGTTTGAACGTGAATAATTTGGAGTTGTTTTAATAAAAGGTTTCTCTTCTTCTTCATAAGACGATCCACACTCTGTTTTGATTTTCTTAACCTCCTTAGTTTCATCAATTTGGCTGTGTGTAACCAATCGCATGATCTAAAATTCACGCACAATAACAAGTAGGTGCATTCGTGTTGCCTAAGTTCGTCCATTAATTTTTAGTTTGATAAATTAACTCCCATCTCTTCTGGTCTAAAACCCCGCTTAATAATTTTTTCACTAAATATGGTCAAATGAGATGACATTCTATTGTTTTTATTTAATATAATTTGCAGATTTGATTTGGCTAGCGACTATAAACTATTGCATTTGAAAAATTTTCAAAGTATGTTGAAGCAACATTCCATAGAAAACTCTAAGCGTTCGCGACCAACTGATCTCAAAATATTATTAATATCATTGCACTAGTAGTTAGTCAGGTTTCTAGAGAGGTTATGCGTGTTTTTAAGTACAAAATACCTTCGTGACTCTGCGCGTGAATATCACACTCTGGCAGATCACGCATCAGCCCTTTACTATATAGACCTAAATCTAGCGCATTAATTGAAAGTAGATTTCATGATAGACTAACTTCCATTTCTATTCTCAATGGTTATTTACTCAAATTTAAGTGCCTCCTTCAAGTAAGATTCTTGTTAAATCATTGTAAATGCGTCCTATAAGGTAAGCTCAACAAATACCGTCTGAAGGGTCCGGTAGACAAGCAATTACTTAAAGCCGTAACGTTCATCAATAACCAAATCCAGTAATATTGGTATATTCTTAGCCTATACTAGTCAAGCTGTCACAATTTATTGAATTGAGACATTTACCTGGAACGAATTTAACAACAGACTGTTTCAGACCCTATATAATAATAGTTTCCTCCGTTTCTAGAGTTCATATAAAGTCATTAAACGCTTGAAAAGTTCAGACGGTACTACCTCTGCATGCGTTAGCACTTCGTCAACCTCCTTTTTGGCAACTTCACTTAAATCATCCAAACTCTTTGGAAGCAATGGAGACCCGGCTGCGCTGACCTTTGGTAATAGCTCTCCATTCTGTCCCGTTGTTGTCACTTTCGGTGAAGCTGAATTGGAGATCAACTCACTGCTTTGATATAATTTGGCGTCTGAAGTAAAAAGCAGGCATTATTAGATGACAAGTTTTTTGGTTCTTAAACTCCTGACTTATTGAAAAATCCAATATTTTGTATTGCTTGAAAATTGTCTTCCTTAATTTACTCACCTATTCGTTGTATAAGTGCTTTCTCTCAATTATATATTTTTTAATAATTATATATTCATAAAAGGAATATATTTACTGAGATAAGGAATGATCTCTTGCCACTAATTTAAGTTAAATTAAGATTTAAAACAGAATTATGGGCAGATTTAGGATAAAAGAAAATTATTTTTAATTGAGCAGTCTTAAAAAAGAGGGGTTTGTAATGAATTTTGTATATGCGAGTGCATGTAATTTGTTTTAATATGTTCTACTCGCCGATAACACAACATTTATAACTTACAGCTAATTTGAAAGCTCCCGTCCATAAAATACCTGAGTCAGTATCTCTAATAATATTCCTAATTCTAACCGCCCTTTACAAGTAGCTGCTCAGCTTATACCGGAAGCACCTAATGCATAATCTCTGATTGGCCAAATATCCTACTATTCACTTGAACATTAGTGGACCCTAGGCTCTACAGGCTGCATATATAAAACTACTTTGATAATCAAAAGTTCATCATGAATGTACTTAGATCTATATAACTATACGAGCTAACACATCATAAATATGGCTGTCTGTATAAAGGAAAAAGTTCGAATTCTCAAAAGGAACTTGATAAGAACCACATAAGAAAGTTTGATACATTATAAAAATAATGTAGAACAATATTTGTGCATTATTAAGGGATAAATATTTAAAATAATTTTCAAACGAATTAATGGGGAAAATGTTTGGATTCATTCGGCCATAATTGCTTCATGCTATTTTAATAGATTTGAAAGTTAATTTATCATAATTAGATATTTAAATTTGAGCAGTTTTGGTTCAAATACTTTATTAGTATATGGATTGAAACTTGACATGTGGGGATTTTAAATCCATTAACCTGATTGACTTTAACATCTATTTAAAAAAAAACAGGGCAAAATTGGTATATCATCGAAGTCATTGGAAGTTATTCCACTGATGTCACTTTAGTGTGGTAGTAAATCATGCTTACAAGGATCGTGGCTAGATTTCGAAGTGTCCCTTTGGTTGAGTTGTTCAGTGGATTCGGAGTCGGCCCCAACCAAATGCCCACCCCCAGAAAGAGCATCCACCGAGACAGACCTACCATTTTTTGCGTTATTGGTATGTTCATCCAGATATTTGCTAAAAGCATCAGTCAACTCCTCATGACTCTTCGTCTGCCTGCTCCGACTCACACTTCTAATGGTTAAAAAGTCTTCTAGAGTCATATTCTTTTTTGCATACATTTTTTGTTACAAACTTACATAGCAATGTTCAGAAGACTTCTACTCCTAAAAAATTAAAATCACATCATACATTCTCAAAATAAAGAGAAAAATTTGGAAATTTAATTCCCAACCCTTGGTGATTAAGGGTAAGATTCTACCATTTCTTTAGTGGGGATGTGCGATAGACTTACCTCCACGTGGTGCACCCTGGGCAACGTATACTCGTACGGCAAAAAAGTCTATTAACCGGCAGTTGACTTCTGACTCCAAACCACCATCACCCCAATGTATGTCATATTCGACTACTTTCACAGTACTCACCTCACCTTTTTTCTACCTTCGTCTTTGAAGCACTTTTCTGTTCCCACCCACCCTCTCGACTTTTTCTCCCCTTTGATGTTCCTTCCCCTCTGTGAAGCCAGAAGTCAACTAAAGGGCTAATGATAACCTGCCATTTATATAAATAAACCTTTTCTTTAGTAATATTAAGCTGCTGATTGCTTCGATGTTTGCCAAAATTGGGCGAAACTTCAAACCCATATTATTGAGGTTTGACTGATAAATATACAATATTTGGAGGTGAAGTCAAATTTAATAGATTATTTTCTTCTTTGCAAATAATAAACGCGAAGTTTAATGGCTAACATGCAAAAAAGGCAAGATATTCAGATGATTATTGAATATTCGTGTTTATGCAAATTGTGACAAGTAGGAAATACCTTGAAACACTTGGCTGAGGAATATTTGGCATGGATGAAGTCATCTGTAGCATTTCCTTTTGACATCGTCCGCTAAAAGAGGAAGCGAAATAATTGAAATAATTTGAGAAGCGGCATTGTAATCTCAATTGAAATAATCCCAGCTCACGTAAATGAATATAATCGGGGCTTTCGAAAAAGTCGTGCATTGGCTTTTGATTTTTTCGCCTCTGTGGATCTATTAAGACTGCGAAAGAGAACACACTGAAAGATTAAGAGTACTTGAACTAAGCAGAAATTTTTTAGTACTAAGAAATAATGCATTTCCATCATTGCTTTATTAAAAAATTCGAAATAAGGAATGATTAATGCAACGTTGGGTTAAAATTTACTGGTTGCAAGAAAAATTGAAATAATGTGATCCACAATTTATGCCCAGAATGTAAAATGCTTTAGCATTGAATATCTTGTGGTTTGAACCATTTTGGAGGTATTCAATGGCACTTGGCCAGTTCTGAGAAGTTTGAGCTTTTAGCTCATATTTTAAGATTTCCATATTTCACAAGCGCGTTCTACTGCGTATTTAAGAGTACAAGATAACAGCTCCTTTAATTTGAGAATTTAAACAGATTGCTTAGTGAGGCAACTTTCATGATCTAACTAAAAGAATTTTGAATTTGTATTAGTAAAGATTAATCGCTCTTACAATAGAAATTACGCCAACTGTTATACTGCGAAATTTTACAACTCCACACTCTTGGAAGAGATGAAGGAATGTAGTCCTTAAATTGAGCTATGGATAGATAAAGGCGCTAAATGCTTTATCACGCAAGTGATTGGCATTTTATACTACTTTTTATTCAATTAGTAATAAACTATAAGGATGTGAAGTTACGTGAAAAAACATTGTCGATCGACAGCCCATTTCCAAAGTGCTTCAGCGGCTTCCGTTGTTTGGCATTTAAACCCCAGTGTATGCCGCCGCTTTAAGTCATAATTATGAAAATAATAACGCATTAATGGTGTTCCTCTTTTAAAAAAATAAATAAAGGTAACTTACATTTTCCCACTGGACTTGAATAACAAATAATTTACCGTCAAAACTTATTCGATGTATTTTCGACCTTAAAAATTAAAGGAGAATTACATAGGAAAGTATAGAAATTTGAGTAATAATGAAGAATTGTTCATTAATTAATGTTTACTAAGAAAAAAATATTCACCAAACCACTCTGTTCGTAGAGCTAGTTTGGAAAGCTATGCTCACGCATCACACAAAAATTCTTCCCTTTAATAAATAATATAAACGTACTTGCCTTCTGAAAAGAGCAAATATCAAGATGGAATGTAATCACTTAAAGTTTTAAATATTGTTTTACTTTGATCCCACTACCCATGAAAATAAAGCTCTTATTTTGAATTATTTAAACTAACTAATATGTATCGTATGACTGAAATTTTGTTAAAGAGTACTATAAAAAATTCTCATATGTATACTAAAAGAACTATTTATTCTCGATTTATCTATTTTTCCTTATATTGCAAAACTTAGTTTCCTTTTAAATAAAAAAGATACGCAATGGTGAGTAGAATTACATTTAATTGTCTGAGTACTATAGTACAGTCGTCTTTTGTCCAAATGAGAGTAAATCTTGACGAAATTTTCAAGTAATTGAAGAACATGTCGTCTTTACTGCTTTCCATGAGTTTTTGGTAAGTAAACATTAAGTAATAAAAATGCTTCTGTTAAAGACTGAATTAAGAAATTAAAAGTTCACTTTCAATTCTCAAAACAACAGTTGAGAGCCCAGTTTCCTGGGAAATATTTTGTATCGAAAATTACATTTTAAACGATATGTAAAATGCGGTTTGTCTTATCAAAACTGACCACAGGAAAACATGAGCCTTACGATTGCCTCGAAAGGCGGTGACACCTTCGTGGCTAAGGCCGACGTAAAAGTTATTTCCTTTTCGATCCTAAAAATAAGAGAAAATAAAATGGTTTTTATGTAAGAAAGAATTAATTGGCTTTAATAGAATTTTAGTACTGACTAAAATTGTGCTAATTTAATTACTTAGAATATTGTAACTTTCCATTTAAATATCTTCAAAAAATTTCTCAAAAGACTTAAATCCGCCAAGAGCAATGACTATCGTCATCGATTCATTTTTCCATTTTCTAGCAAAAACCCGTTTTTCGAAATTGAAAATAATCTCAATCACTGTGATCAAATAAGTTAAAACAAATGTGTTTTGCGAAATATCCACTAGCATACATGTTAAAAAATTAAGTTTTTTAATCTAGCCCTTCGCTTATTCTAATAAAATTACCCAAGGTGAATTGCCTTATTAATAACCCGTCTAAAACTTTTATATGTTTCCGTGAAAAATATGTTTAATTGTTCGTTTTAATAAATCCGCACTCTTATCATTACATTTTTATCGTGTTTCTTATGGAGTAATTTACATTTAACTAGTTATTCTCCACTCAAGCCCCAGTAATCACCTAGATGAATTTAAAACCTACATGCTTTTAGATGCTTAACTGTAATTTTCACTAGCAAAGACTTTAGTATACCAGGTCCATCAAAACCATGCATTGTATGCATAACCCAAAGAACAGTTGTTCCATGTTAATCATTTGATTGCATTAGGTTAAAGGATATTTTGCACAATCTGAACAGATTGCAAGTGTGAAAAAACTAAAGGGAAGGCAGTGGAGTTGATTATGCAAATGATACGGGAAAATAAATCATATGCTCACTTGAACAAATACGGGCTCCACACCATAGGTCTCCATTTCAGACGCTCGCTCTAAAAACTTTGCCTCAGCATCGGCTTGTGGAAGTCCTCTGCGAAAGAATGAAGAAGTAATCTCATCAATGTAATCCAAAATTTACTTTTAGCAACAAATCATTAAATGATCATCACTGCAGATAACAGTAATTTTTTGAACGTTAGCCACTTAGCTGGATACTAAGTTTATTTAAAATAAGAACAATCATTATTACAAGTACTGAAATTTATATTTTCACTTTTCCCATACTATATATATATATATATATATATATATATATTAGTTTGGTGCCTGAAATTGTTAATAAAATTTCATACCCCGTTTTAAAGTTTTGCGCTAGGAAAAATTTTCAAATCATTTTGATAGTTTAGTTAAGGCAACTATTCGACTGAATAAGAGATAAAGACAGCAAGATCCTCATAATCTGTTCTATTTATTAGAGATTCATTTATTTCAATGTTTTTTGGTGCATTTAAGTAATATTTTTTTATTAACGCTATCAAGCTAACATAAACTAATTGACTTTCTAGTGCTTAAGATGGCTAGGACTTAAAGCATTTGATTCAATATGTTACCGCCTTCAAAATTAATTCATTTGATAATTACCATTGAAATTTAATCTCCATTGCAATAGGTTACGACTAAGTGAATTGTTAAACCTAGAATTCACATGAAGCGGATGTTATTTCATGCCTTAACTTCATAACTAATAATAGTTAGGAAGGATATTTACTGAAGTGTCTTATAAACTTCTTTAATCTTGGCTTCAACACGTGGAGTCATGTTCTCGAACATCTTCAGATCGGCCAAGGATCCATTCAAACCAAGATAACTCTCCAATTTGTCGATATCGCCAATTTCAGCTGAAAAAAAGATATTTAAAAGCAGACATTTTAGCAGAAATGAACTTTTTGCATTGAAATTCTCTAGATAATCTATTTTGAATATGGGGTGAATTTCCTTTCCTTAATAATAAAAGAGTAAAAAGGGTTGATTATAAGGAAAGAACCATCTCCGACTAAAATATTCAATTTTAAAATTTGGATGATGTCGTTATTTTTCATTTAATCCTAACTTTGGATCGTTTTCCCAAAAGCGAAATGGAACAACGGTAGATAGGTGCACGTCAAAGCTCAAAAATATTTCTTGGTTTCGTGGGGCATGTTATCGTTGTGTGCGTCATCGTATGCCTGCATGTCTGCTCGCCAGGATTGGGAGGTGCGGCCGTACAACTCTGTGTGCAGCGACCGTACAGAGACCAATCATTAACCTCCGTTTAACCTAATCCCCCATCCTGATCATGATTAAGCTTCCTGTGTGTACACTTTATCCGCAATATACTTACTGAATAAACGTGCTCCGTGCTACACGTGTTTCCTTTATATCTGGGCTATAGCTTAGCTGGTTCTGGGAGTCTAGCTAGATGTAAGAGAATCTGCCATAGAGATTTCTGAGTCGGTCAGGCTTTACTAGCTTAGCAATCCACTACAATCTACCAACGAAACGAAAAATATGACCATGTCAGAATCGTATTTGCCTTGCGTTTTCACTAAAACTCGGTAAGTAAAAAGTATTTGACAGAGAAGATATGTAAATTTATCTTATTTTTCAACAAATTTACGGAATGTGATATCATGTGATCAAAAGAATCAAACTAAATTAAAAAAATGAAAAATCTAACTCCACAAAGTGAGGAGAAGATGCATCAAGTTGGAAACTGAGAAGAACCATTTAATCAACAATGATTTAATACAAGCAATAAGTATACTCGGTTTAGTAGAATGACGATAACTAGAGTGGAAAAAATTAATTAATAAGTTTTTTCATTAAGAACTCATTACTAGGTTACAAATGAGGTATATAGAAGCAACGTTTCTAACTTTTGTATGTATTAATAGGTACATTCAATCAAATAATCAATAAATCGATTAATCATGAGTTTTTGGGTTCTCAACATTAGTCTTGATTTGGTATCCAGATTTCATTGCAAACTTTTACTATGTTAGTCAATTGGGACTTATTCGGAATACTTATTAAATGTCTCATTTAGAAGATTGGCGACAGAACCGATTTATAATATTTTTCTGACAAGAATTTTCGGGTGTTCTTTTGCATATTTTCTTTCAATTTCTCATACTTTTCTCTATTTCTGCAAAATTATGCTTCTAAACTTCTTATTAATATATTTGTTTGGCTATAAGACGAGAAAGACTATGAAAAGTAAAATATCTAATCATAATCTTGTCAAATTTTTCTCGAGAATTTAAGACCTGCAGATGACAGAAAAAGTGTTGGAACACCTCCTTATCACAAGTCAAATCTCTACCACATAGCTTGCGTTTAATAAAGATGTTCCCTACTACTGTTCCAACAAGTGTCAGAGGTCGGCTTCCCACTGAAACACCCTTCTGGAACACCGGCAGTCTGGTTCTTGACAAATTTGAAAAACTATTGCCAAAATGAAAAACAGTATATAGAAAAGGAGACGGTTTTATAAAATCAAAAGGACACTCAATGAGTCATGCAAACAAAATTTAAACAAACGATTATGATTTTGAAAGTATATCCTTCTCCCACGTAGGTGTTATGGATTCTCCTTCTACAACTTGTTTAAAGAATTTCTAAGGCTGAACTCAAATACCAACTGGTCACTCTAGTGGCCAAAACCCAAATACCGAAAAATGATAGCAAATAATCTGTTGCAAGTATGAGGACAGAGGGATTTCGCCTCTTGCTACACCTCAGGGAAAAACCGTGTCCGTGACAAAGCCAGTGTTCGGATTGAGATTGAAATGAACACCAAGGGGAGCTATTCCGAATAAAACGCAATCCAGAAAATTTACCATGACTTTTTTTCGTCATTATAATCATTAATACTTTCTTAGAGATTTAAATATTTGTAAAATTGAAAGTTCAGAAACAGGCCCAGAGGTAACGACATGTCCCACAGTTGCATCAATAAGATATTTAGTACCTGAAAAATGCTACAAAACCCATTTATAAATAAAATTAACCCTATTTAACTTGATTTAAGTAGTATATGTTGTATAAAATGGCAGGTGTTTTGATAATTATCATTAGTCCTTTAACTTATTTCGAGCTTCACAGAGAGGAGAAACATCAAAGGGATAAAAATTCGAGAGGGGGAGCAGAAGGGAGATTCAAAGATGTAAAAGAGACAGACAGACACAAAGGCAGAGTAAAAAGAGTGGTGAGTACCGTGGAGAGGTCGAATATGACATACAGTGGGGCCATTGTACTTTGAGGTCAGAAGTCAACTGCCGGTTTATAGACTTTTTTTACCGTGTGAGTATACGTTGCCTAGGATGCACCACATGGAGGTAAGTTGTAAATATAATTCTCTTCGAGATTAAGAGAGTGTGTACTATTTATAAGAGAGTGCAAATAGAAGAAGATCGAGAACAAAGGAAACCATAGTTCAAGTATTTGAAGTCCTTAGTGGGGGCTGATGCATCTCGTCTCCT